ACCTCAAAGTTGCTCTCCCACCTCCCCAGGGCTGGCCAGACACAGAAGCAGCGGCAGTGTGGGAGGCTGGCCAGCACACAAGTGGAAAATCTTTCTGCAGTCAAGACCTGGAAGATGGAGAAGCCAGGGCTCCTTCTGGCCTCCAGGTACCTGTCAGTCTGTGAAGGGGTAGGGAGCCAGGCCAGGTAGCCTATGAAGTGGCCAGAAAGGTAGGCTTGCGGTGTGACCAGGACTCTCAGAATCACCCCCTTCCCATACATCCCTGCTTTGCCTTACCCACTTGGAGGGCTCTGTGATTCCCAGACATCCCTAGCAGGGCCTGAGCGTGGTCTATTACTGGGGGAGCATCCGCATGTGACTGCGTGACCATGTGTGCATGACGTGCGGTTGGCTGTGTTGTGCCATGACAGGTGGAGAGTTATAATCATATGTGCTCATGAAGACATGCCGTCTGCGTCAGAGAACGACTCATGCATGTGTGGACTGAGTTCCTGGCATATGCTGCCTGTCACTGCGATGCCTCTGTGTTGTATGGGCGATGAGGTGTAGATGGCATCCACCTTTCTGGATGATGCTGATGCTGGACATACCCAGGGGAGGGGTCTGCAAGCTGTGTCAGTGCTCACTGCCAATGCCCCGAGCTCACCATGTCACCCAGAACACTTGTAGCTATAAAAAGTAGGCCAGCTGTCAGCCCCAGTGCCTATGGAAGGGAATGCTGATGGTGTTAGAGAAGGCCGTATTTTGGAACACTGGAAATGCCATGAGCACAGGCGCCCAGGCAGGCCCTCCCCCTCAGCTGGCAGCTCCCCTACCCTCACCGTAGCCCCTATCAGCTGCTAGGTATTCTGGGCTTCCTTAGCCACTCCGGGATCACAGGCTTCTCTGGTCTTCTGTCCTTATGCTGTTTCCCTATGAATAGCCTGCCGCTGCCTCTGCAATAGGGGAGTTCCTGCCCCCTACGTTGTATCCCAGGCACTATGCACAACCACAGAGGCCAGAGTCAAAGCCTGGTAGTGGCCTATGAAGATCAGGAAATGGCTGAAGACAATAGCTCTCCTGGATAGAGGCAGGACCATGGGGAGGGGCTTTTAGCACTGAGGGTCAGCCATCAACCGTTGCCAAACACAAGTGATAAACACTGACATCAAGTCACAAGCACACAGAGGTAACTCCCTGGGTTTCCCTGGGGGAAGGGGCTGAGCTGTCCGTGCGAACATCCTAAGTGAGTACAGTGGAGTGCAGGAGAAGGAACTTGGTGTCCTGCAACAGTGTGTGTGTGTTTGAGGGAGACAGAGACAGACAGAGAGACTGACTTTGGGAGTATTCAGAGAGACCCTGGGGACAACATTGGGGATGTAGAAAGGAAGAGGGGCAGGTGGTAGGAGTGGTTAACTGTGTAGGGGTCTCCAGACCCTGGAGAACAAGGATCCAGAAAGGTGATTTAATCACCTTTGCAGTATGGCCGAGGCTCATCTGATGTGCCCCCAGGGAGGTTTTGGTGGGCACAGTAAGCCTGTGAGGTGTACTTCCTGAGGAAGCTGGTGCTACAAGGTAGGAAGAGGATGAGTGATTTAGAGCAGCAAGGATAAAGGGGGGGCGGGGTGCCAGCCCTCACACATGTGCGGGATTGCAGAAAAAAGATGAACTGGAGAGGGGGCATAAAAGTTTGAACTTCAGGCATCTATGAGCCTGAGGATATCCCAGGGGTTACCCTGCAAACATCCTAAGATTTTGCTGGCTCCTTCTTTTAGATGTAGTCCTTGAGAAGGTTCACTCGCGACCTTGACCACAGCCTGGCCCTTCTACACAGTTGCCTTCACCTGTTGGTGTTCTCAGATGTGAAGAGGGATTGGAAGGCTGCCCCTGTGAGACACTCCTAGAGACAAACAGATGTGTATTGTTTATTTTCAGACCAAGAGACAGCTCCCCAGCCTGGACCTCAGGATGTAGGATGCCCACCGGCCCTCCCTTCCTTCTGCTACGTGCCGAGCCCCATCACCTCCCCACCACATGCACAGACCCTGGATTATCCCCCAAGCCAGGAAGCTTTGGAGGTGTCACTGTCTCCTGTGCCACACTGGACTCAGCTCCGGCCCCTTCCCACACCATAAAATTCCTGCTCCAAAGCGTGGTCCTGCCTCCTCAGTGCAGCTGGCACACCTGGGCTCTGCCCGAAGCATGGACCGAGGCTCTCTCTCCTGCTTCACTTCCGGCAGCCTCCGCCTCTCCTTAGACACTGTATGCTGTGATTGTCCAGGCGATGACAGTAGCGATGGCACCAGGGAACACGACGTTTATTTATGAGCTGAGCATCTTGGCTAGCCTTTGTGACCAGGCCGGACATCTCACCGGTTCAGAAAGTTCAGCCTGGCGTCCCCTGTTGCCAGTAGTCAAAAGTTGAACATATACTTTCTTGGCACACCTGAAACACTTCACCCCTAGCTCTCCCATAGCATGTCACACTGTGGTCCACACTCACACATACAGGGGCACTGGCAGGCACATCGGTACCTATCTGTATGTACACTGAATACAGGTATGCATACCCTGCCCTTCATGATCGTTTTGTGTCAGTGATCTAAGTTCCTTCCAGATGTGGATCTGACAGAGCACAGGAAAATAAAAAGCAGGGTTTCTTGTGGTAAACATGTCTATTGGTGCTTCCGTGGAGAAGAGACGAGGCCTGGTCTCCTTGCCTCCAGCAACTTCCTTTTCTGTTCCCTAAGGACTCTCACTCCTGAAAATCCATTTCAGCCTGGAGGGGAGCAAATTAGAGGAGGGATAAAGGCCAGTTTAGCCCATCCCCTCCTCCCCAGGGAGGTGTGGAGCTCTGCCCAGCCCATGAGTGCCAGCTGCTCTCCAACTGGCTTTGGGTCTCCCAGGGGAGGTAGAGGGAGGCTGGCCTTCCCCTTCAAAAGCATCTTCCCAGCCCACTCCCTTACCCAGAAGCAAGCCATCAGGCAGTGCCAGAGTCCAGAGAAAGAGCCTTCAGCTCCAGGTACAGCCTTACTGGGCCTCCAGCTCCAGGGTCAGCCTCTCTGGGGCTCCAGGTCCAGGGTCAGCCTCTCTGGGGCTCCAGGTCCAGTGTCAGCCTCTCTGGGGTTCAGGTCCAGAGTCAGCCTCTCTGGGGCTCAGGTCCAAAGTCAGCCTCACTGGGGCTCCAGTCAAGGGTAAGCCTTGTTGGGGCTCCAAGTTAAAAGTCAATCTTTCTTGGGGCTCCAGGGTCAGCCTCACTGGGGCTCTAGGTCCAGGGTCAGCCCTTTCTTTATGGTTATGTGTGGCTGTATCTTCCCCAGCTGGGAAGGAAAGATAGGTCTGGGGGACAAGGATAGAGCTAGGGATATATGGGATAATGCAGAGAATGGGATGGGATGGGATAGGACAAGGATGGGAAGGGAAGGGATATGAATGGGATGAGATGGGATGGGATAGTGCAGAGGATGTGAAGAGATGGGATGGGAATGGGATGGAAAGGGATGGGATGGGATGGGATGGGATGGGATGGGATGGGATGGGTGGGATGGAATGGGAAGGGGAGAGAGACAGAGTTTTAACCTCCTAGCCCATGAAGGTGGAGTTGCATGGAACAAAAAGGAGGTGGTGAGACCAAGGGAAAGAGTACAAGTCCCTCCCTAGCTTCTCCCACTGCTATTTTTGTGACCTTGAACAAACCACCAAGCGACCCTGTAATATCAGCGATCTTATGCATACCACGTACGCCAGGCTGGGTGAGGGGAGCCTGGAGATGTAGCAACTAGGAAATTGCTCACATCCAGGCCTGCATCGAGTCCTCCAGGCGAGTGTCTTTGAGAGGGCCAGCAAGAGACCACACCACAACCTATCTTCCTCAGTTTCCCGAGCTGGGAGCCAGAGTGAACCTCTATCTCCAGACTCCATGAGATCTGAAGAGATCATGAGTCTCTCTTGGTGGAAGGCGGGCTTTTAGGGTATCTTAATGCAAATGTCATGCCAACCGAAGCCCCAAGTGGCCAAGGCCCCCACCCAGGGCACTCTGTCTCTGAGGTGTAGGCTAAGCATGCCACACATGCTTCCTGCCCCTTCTGACTCCGTGTCCTAGCAGCTGAACAAATGGCACTTCTCCCCTACCCGCTGCCATTCCTTCGCAAAGGGCACGGAGCCTGGCGTGCAGCTCTGGCAGCTGTAGCTTTCCATGCTCCTGTCAAGTTTTCCAGGGCACAAATGAGACAGGCGAGCCAGGAATAACTGCCTGGGCCCCAGAGGGTCTACAGGGCTGGGACAACACCAGACCCAGCTTCAGACCTTTTCCCGAGGGGTCAAGCAGCACCCGCTACTCCAGGCCAGGGCTTTGAATGATGTCCATAGCCACCAGGAACCCATTATCAGACATGAGTACCATTTACAGGAGCCCAGGCGCCAATGGAACCTGTGTCCATTCCCTGTGTGACCTTGGAGGATGTGTTTAACTTCTCTGAACCTCAGCTCTTACAGTCCAAGGTAGCGGCCCCTTAGGACCGCCAGGAAATGGTTGTGAAGAGCCCTTTTCTGAACTTGACCGTGTTCAAAGTACTGCCATGACATGGCCATTTTTATGTCTGGTCCTGTAACATCAAAGTGAGCTGGGAGCCAATCAGCAGTCTTCTGAACTGAAGGTTTTGCAGACCTGTGGAGGATAAGCCAAGTCCAAGGCCCCTCAGGGCCCCACAATGGATAAGGTGCAAACTCATGGTCCTTACCAGGAACAACAGACTAACAAAACCCCTACCCAGAGGAGGATCCAGATTAGACCCACTGACTAAAACAAGGGTGTGTGGGCTCCGCAGAGGGCACAAAGGGGGCCAGTCCTCCCTGCCTGCCCCTCAGGGATGGGTGTTCTGGGTGCCTGACACCCCTCCCCAGGGACTATATTAGCCATGTGAGTCATGGTGGACTGGCTGGGAGGCCACAGGCAGGCGGGCCCAGTGTAGGGTTACAGTCCATTTATGGGCGCAGCAAGGGCAGATATGAGTGTCGATGGCATTCACCCCCAGCTATTCTTAGGAGCCTCCCAGGAGCTCTGCACAGCCTGGCCAGGCAGCAAGGGATACAGCAGGCAAGGCCAGGGGTCGGGGTCCTGGGACCAGGAACAAAGATAGGAGCAAAGAAATGGTCTGGAAAGGTGGGGTTCATGCGTGTCCCCTAACCTGACTCTGTACAATTTGTCTGCAGAGGAAGCCGCTGCTGTCAACACCAGAATGTCTTACAGTGTGACTCTGACTGGGCCTGGACCCTGGGGCTTCCGTCTTCAGGGAGGCAAGGACTTCAACATGCCCCTCACTATCTCCCGGGTAAGTGTTAACTGCCCATAGCCTTATTTCCAAAGGGGCAGGGCATTCTTGGAAGGGGGCTCGTTCATGTCCATCTGCCATCAGCCAGTCAGTCTGTCTCCCCCAAGGCTCTTGGAAAGCAAAACCTGCCCTATTTCTGGTCTGAAGCCTAGGACTGGACTGGTCTGATCTTGTCCATAGCTGAATTTGCTTACCCCAGCTTGTTCCCTGGACTTTGCCTGTCTAAGCGAGACATTATGGGCAGATAGCTGGCATTTTGAGCAGAGGGGAAATGCTGATCTTGCAAAGGGGGTGGTCTTGTGAGCAGAGAATGTGGGGCCTTCTTAAGCCCTTCCCTAGCAGGGTAGGCTTGGGGTATTTCCAAGCTTCAAGTCCCTCCCTAAAAGCAGGCAGTTGCTAAGGAGAGAGCATTCTTAGCATAGGGAAGGCAGGTAACAGGTAGGTAGATGGACAGATTGTTTCACCAGCTGCCCTGCTGTCACGATATAAGTCCAGGCTAGACTGGTTGCTGGTCTCTAGTGTCCCCAGACCCAAGACACCAGCCCCTCCTCTCCCTGCCATAGCGGGCCTGGCAGAAACCTTGCATCACCTGTGGCTCTTGGGTTAAACCTGTATTCCTCACTTGAGCCCAGGGATGCCTGTCTTACGGCTTTGCTTGGCTGCGACAATGCCCTCTGGGTCCTGTAGGATGTAGTGAGAAACAGCACCGCCCACGGAAATGGCACCAAGCATCAGGTGGTATGAGGGTGGTTCCATTGTGTCGGAGAAACTGAGGCCCAGAGATAAAAGGTGGACATATTTGAAAGAAAAAGTAGAAGGTCTTTAATTATTGCTGTAGTCCAAGCCCCTAGGCCATAGCTGTTGCTATCTGCTCAGTATTTGTTAAATAAGGCACCCTATAAGTCCTGGTAGATCTGAAGGTCCCATGGCTTAAGGGTTGAGAAGCATACAGGGAACAAGTATAACCTGCTTGGTGGCTGAGCCCCTGGCAGGACTGATCTGGGCTTAAGGGGATGGGTGAGACTCCAGGATGTCATTGTGAAGTTAGAGGCTGGAATCTGGCATGGTTGGATTTCCGTTTCTTCCACAGAGCAGCAGAGGCTAGCCTTGGACCTGGGGCTAGCCCTCCGTGGTAGCTGAGAAGCCTGGAAAGTGCCTGACAGACGGGCAGGGCCCAGTATTGCCACTGAAGTAGTCTTGATCCTCAGACCACCCTTTTTTAAAAATATTTATTTATTTATTATGTATACAATATTCTGTCTGTGTGTATGTCTGCAGGCCAGAAGAAGGCACCAGACCCCATTACAGATGGTTGTGAGCCACCATGTGGTTGCTGGGAATTGAACTCAGGACCTTTGGAAGAGGAGGCAATGCTCTTAACCTCTGAGCCATCTCTCCAGCCCCCTCAGACCACCTTTAAGCTAGACTTTTAGAGTGGCCTTTGGGGAAGGACAAGGTCCCTCCCCTCTCAGCTGCAGATCTGAAGTCTCTGCCCTCCAGACCTACTGCCCTGAAAACCATGGGGCTCTTGTGAAGAGGATACACTAAACCATGTAGATTCTGCTTGACGATGTGGTGACGTCAGGATGAGAGTCCTGTGGTTACCCCCAACCCTGGCTCTGCACAGTGCCCACTCCTGCAGCTGTATGTTTCCTCCCTGTATAAGACAGGGCCTCTCGCATCGTCCTCATGTGCTCTCTGGCTTCCTATGCCTAGGATTGAGCCCAACATCCCCAAGGCTCATTGCTGGTGCTCCCTGCTCCATCTAATGGGAACAAATTCATCTCCAGGATCAGTGGTACCCAGAAAAGGCAATGACCTCACTCAGGACCTATGTACCACCTGGCCCCAGATGGCCAGTGCTTAAATGGGAGCACAGAGGTTTTAAACTAGACAGAAGGAAGAATGTCCTCATTCAAAGAGAGGGCAGTTGGGGTGCACTGGAAGCTAAAGCTAGGGAGACATTTAAACATAGAAGCCAGAGCAATGGGAGATTGGCTCACTTCTGATCCACACCCCAAATCACCTGGAGCAAGGTGGCCCGAGCAATGGTGTTCAGGTATGGCAGTCTTCTGAGAAATACAACTAGTGTGCTACAGATACCATGGGTCTGGCATCCTAGGCTTGGGCATTTCAGGCCCAGTGCTGACTGCGAACACTAGGCCTTCAGCATTTGCTGCCGCGGCTTACCTCCAGACCAGAAACAGTTTGCTCACAGAGACACAAGGCCAGGACTCTGCCCAGCTTCAGCAGTCCCCTGCTCCGGGGACAGTCACTACAACTGTGAGGGGTGATCAGGCAAGAAGTCTGGGGTTACCAACTCGGAGCCCAGCAAACTGAGGCTTGCACGGGATAGAGGTGCCCATGGGTAGCACGCACACATTCTGACACAGCCTAACTTTCATGCCTGCTTCTTTGCCTGTCAGTCTGGGCACTGGTGGAAGCTGGCCTCTCTCAAAAGCAGGTATGTGTTTCTCCCAGGAAGAGCAGCTGCCAACTGCATGCTGGGAGAAAGCTTAGATATCACCTTGCCTACGGCCTCCACACAGACACTATGGTATCAACCTGAGTAGGAGATCCCCAAGACCCTCATTCGGTGAACTTAAGCCTGAGAATCTGCAGAGATGGGATTCAGGAGGGATACCCTAGGGTGGAGGGCAAATGCCTTTATTTATCCTAGACAGGTGCAGAGGCCTGCAACCTGAGCTGGCCTCTCCCCTCCCTTCCCCCACCTTAGCCAATTCTCCAGGAAGCAGAGTTGAGGGAGCAGATCAACAGGCCCAGTCCTTACCAGGGCCCCTGCCTCTGGCCAGATGCTGGAGCTAGGTGTGGTACCTTACCCCTTCATGGCTGTGGCACCCTCCGCCTTAGGAAGGAAGTAAATGTCTTTATTCAATTCTAACACAGCCTCAATGGTCTCGCCTATAAAATGGGACAGTGCTGTCCGTGTGTGTGTGTGTGTGTGTGTGTGTGTGTGTGTGTGTGTGTGTGTATAGTGTGGAAAGGAGGCTGGCTATGAGGCTAGTGTATGAGGGGGCTGTGGGCTGCGACAGGCCTGCCTCCTTACTGGAAGGCCTCTGCTCTCAGGACCTCCATCCTACCTGGCAGGCTCGCCTGGGCCACAGTCCAGAGGCCTTCTGCCTCTCCTCCGGTTTCAGCGTCAGTATTACTGGACTCTCCCAGCTAAGGTGGGGACACTGAGAGCAGAGGACCCTTGGGAAGAGAACAGAGGACAGTCTGAAACTATTCTGGGGGTGGCTATGCTGGCGATTCCTGGAATTCCCAGGCCCCTGGAGCACGGTGTCTTGAGCTGTTCTCGGCAGCGCCTATCAGCGCTGACAGGCCAAGCTGTTTATAGCCCTGTTGAAGGTCAGGCAACCATCTAGCTAGCTACCCAGCAGCGAAGATAAGAAACTGTCCTAGCTGGAGACTGCATTCTTAGAGGCGCATCTCTCCAGATCCTCCTGTGACTCAGACTCACCTCTGACCCCTCGAAGGCCCTGATGGCAGCAGACCAGAGGCCCACTAGGTCCTAGGAGGGGGCCCTTGTAGGTCCCTAAACCAGAACACGAGGCAAGGGCAATTCTATGGGCAGACAGGAAAGGGGGCAGATGCTGAGTGGAGGCTATGAGGACAGCAGATACGAGAAGTATGTAGGCACCAGGGACAGAACAGGGGGAAATCCCCCAGTTGTGACGATCCTCCAGTCCTTACTTCCAGGCTTCCATTCCCAAACACAGCTTCTCCACTCTGCTGGAGCCAGATTCCTACTTTCACGGGAACTACTTTTGGAAGCATAAAGCAGATTTTTCAGGGCTAAGTGCACACAAGAACACTACCAGTTTGTTAGAGAAGCAGAAGAGGAACAGTGTTGGAACCTGGGGAAAGAGAGGAAGACCTGCAAAACACACACACACGGGGGTGTGTGTGTCTGAGTGTGTGAGGGATGGGATGCAGAGGAGTGGGTACTGTGGCACAGAGGGGAAAGAGTTAAAACGAGAACTTCTGGGACAAGCAAAGCAGGGCGTAGCAGAGTCTGGCTTATTTATACGCCAGAGTTGGAATAGAAGCTGAAGCCACTAAGAGACAGAAGTTTCCAGAAAAAGGGCAAGAGCTGGAGCAAGACCCCAGTGGAGGCCAGATGGGAAAAGAGCCATCCTGGCACGTGGTAGTTGAATCCCACAGAGTTAAAATACACTTAGGACTTCAAGGGGAGTCCCTGCCAGACTTCAGAGAAGGGCTGGGAAGGTTCCACTCCTTCAGGGCCTGTTACCTGCCCTTAGCCAGCCCCACCACACCTGGCAAGTCACACAGAGAATGAGGGAAAGGTCTGTGTGATTCTGAATATGGGGAGGGATGTTAGAAAGTTCTGTAGAGCCCGGCGACCCCAGAGAGGCTGCCAGCTGTCTTTTCCACTTCTAGAGAGCTAGCGGGTCAGGAGGTCATGGCATGGGAACTTTCAGACCCTGCATGGCACTTTCTTTCCCTGGAACCCTGGACAGAATCCCTGCAACTCTGCCACACCCTTCTAGGAATAGCAGGCTCGCTCAGGACTAGTCATTGGGGCTGACCCCCTGCCTTCCACCTTCGGTCAACTCTGTCTTGTTTCTCATGGAACCCTGGGGTACAGCCATACTGGTCACATACCTGCTGTCCCCCAGTGTTACCCTTGACTTTTCTGGAGCTTTTAGGGAGGAGGGGGTTGGGACCAGAACTCAAGCCCCTTGAAGTGGAGATTCCACCGAAACCTTCTCAGCTCGGCAGCATCCTTACGTCACACCCTGTTTAATGACGTAATCCTCAGAACGTGTCGGAGAAGAAGGCCTTACCCTGTGCTCTGCACACTCACCGGATTGTGTGACATTTCAAGCAAAGCTGCCTTAAGTTGATTGTCCACACGCTTTCCTCTGTCGCCTTCCTCCTAGGCATGGCAGTGGCCATGACGTCAGCTTCCCTGTGCTGCCTCTGGAGAACGGGTTGCCCCTTGCTAATCAGATGTGTCCTCTTGGTCACAATGCACTCATTTCTCTATTGTCCTTGCCTGGCGGACACATCTGAGAGTCTAGAAATGGAATATTCTGGGCGCAAGGTGGGCAGTGTTTAAGAAGACACCCTGGACTTCAGAGGCTGTTGAAGCAGTTGGCAAGGGAGGGCCCATTGAGTCTTGTCATGACCCATGTGGTATAGGACAGTGCTTCTGGGACCAGTAATGTGGTGTGGGGTTCCCTAGGGTCATAGGCCAGCAACCATGGGCCGAGTGGCTAATTCTGGCCCAGTTCGTCCTTGGTGCCCCACCTTGCGGCCCTTCTAGGCTCTCCTTAGTGTTCAGATCCACAGTGGAACGTGATTGTTGGCTTCGAACAATGGAAAAACTAGGTAGAAATGAAACACCCATCCAGAGAGGACTTTAAATGCTCAAAAAGGTATACAAAGACCTTTTATTTTGGAAGAAAATATCTCCAGGAATGTGTGTGCTCTGAGTCTTTTCTGAGAGGAAGTTAACAGAGAAAGGAGGCTGTAAAGTTAGAGGAGAGATTTGCTGAAACTAAACCTTTTCATGAGCCCTGGGCTCTAGGCAATGGTCCGACAGTGCGGGTCCCCTCCCCCAGCCTGCTGGGGCTGCTCCTGTGCTGGAGGGAAGGGATCTGATGGTCCTTGGCTGTCTTTAGCATCCCTGCCTCCATCTGGCCTTCTTCTCTAAGGACACTGGAGCAGAAAAGAACATCTCCGTATATGTGACTACCCCACCCCCACTCGAGGGACTCTGGGCCCTGCTTAGGGCAGCCAAAGGCCAGGGCAGCTGAGCCCTGATGGGCAGGCACAGATGCAGGGAGAGCGACGCCAGGGACAGGGGGATCCAGCTTGGTGGCTCCCTCTGGAATGTTTGGCTACTGACCAGGCCCCTGGAACAAGGATTACCCCCCAGCCCACGCCTGAGGATATCAGGGCCAGGCACAGGGAAGGATAAGTACAAGTTGGCCATGCCCTAGGGAGAAATATGTCACCAGGCAGCTCTAAAGATATGGCATTCCTGATGGCCTGCAGCTGGCACTGGCTGATCAGGCCCAGCCTCCCTTGGATGTCATTCTGTTGCCCTTGCTTATACTTTCATCGTGATCTGAGCACTGTTGGCAGCGTCCCTTCTGGCTTTGAAGCTCAGCCCTTCTGTGTGGGATTGGTAGCTGCTCCTCTGTACCCTACCCCCCAAGCTATTTGCTGCCTGGAACAAGTCCTCCTCTATAGATAGTTAGAAGCATTGGGGGAATCCTTCTGTAGATATGTTCTGCGATGGAAAGAGGGCATTTTAGGGGACGACATACCACAGAGCAGCTTTACTAGGAGATATCTTTCCCTGGGGATGTCCTGCCACAGGGTAGCCAGTTCTGGGATGCGGGCAGTCCACTAGGAGAGCAGGGCACTGGAAACTTTACCCTGGGTGTCTCCATGTCTTTGAAGGGCTCCTACAGATGGCTTGACAGAAGGAGAGTGGAGAAAGTGATGTGGGATAAAGAGGAAGTGGGGATGTTATGGCTGGCCAGTGACGATGAGAACTGGGAGTTCACATTTTTTTCATCTTAAAGATTACTATAGTGAATTGTTAGAGATAGCACAGCCTTGCATAGAAAGGAAGGAGGACGGGTGTACTTTCTGCATAGCAGCAAGAGGCCTCTTGTCTAGAAAAATATCTTGGTTTTTCCCTTGTTCTCTCTCTCTTTCCCTCTCCTCTCTCTCTCTCTCTCCTTTCTCTCTCTCTCCCCCAACCCTGTGTGTGTGTAGACTAGAAGAAAACTTGGGTATTGTACCTCAGAAGTCGTTCACCTTGGTTTTTGAGACTGGGTCTCTCGTTGGCCTGGGGCTCGCCTACTCAGATAGGCTGGCTGGTCATCAAGTCCTGGGGAAGTCTCTGTCTTCCCAGAACTGGGATTACAAGCGTACACTGACACCTGTTTTTTGGTTGTGTGTCAGGGCTCGAACTCGGGTCGTTATGCTTACGCAGCGAACACTGAACAGCCTGAGCCACCTCCCCTGCCTCTCTCAGTACTTTTCACCTCTGCATTTAAGACAGCAACATGGACTCCCTGTGGTGATGGGATAGGAGATAAGGATGCTTCTACGATGCCCCTCTGGCATCTGGAGAGTGGGCTTTGCAAATCAGATGTGCTCACTTGGCCATCGTAGTTCTTGCCTGGCAATTTGAGGTCCAGAAGGGGAATGTTCTGGGCACAAGGTGGGCAGAGTTTGAGAAGACACCTGGAGTTTGGTGTGGTGGCGCACGCCTTTAATCCCAGCACTTGGGAGGCAGAGGCACGTGGATCTTGATGAGTTTGAGGCTAGCCTGGTCTACGATGTGAGTTTCAGGACAGTTGAGATTTTACAGAGAAATCCTGTCCCAGGGAGAAAAAAGAAAGAAAGAAGACACCAGGAACATCAAAAGTTTTTGAGCAGCAGTTGGCGAGGGAGGGCCCTTTCGGTGTTGTGGTCATGACCCCCAGGATGTAGGACCAGCTCTGGGACCAGTAGCATGATTACAACAAAATGGTTTATTTTCTGGGCACAGTGACTGCAGGGCACCTTGATTTGTACACAGTTCCCTTTAAGGAACCTGGCAGGAGGCTTCCATCTATGCTCAGAGCTTGATCAGAGACCCACACAGGCTTGGCACACAGAACACAGGACTGTCCCTCAGGTCATCTGTGATTGCCTTCTAGGATGGTTTCCAGACCTTAACCCAAATCCAGATGCTGATAGTATTAATAGCTAGTCTTACTCCCGCATCATAGCCAGGAAGGTGGGTAGGATGTCACCAGAGATGCCGAGAGAACTAGCAGGTAGGCACGTCAGAGGACAAAGCTCAGAGATCCAGCCATCTGAGCAATGGAGGGGGTGCTCAGAGCCTCCTCTTTCCTGTGATGTCATTGATGATAAGGCCTGTGTCACATCCACATGGCATCATAGAGGGACTTCCTACTGTCACAGGATCAGCTCCTAAAATAAATTTATGCATAAGTACCACACACTAACAGATAGTTCCACCCTACTTGCCTTCTCAATCAGTAACCATTTATAATGGAAAAAAATGAACAGGTTCATGTGATATTCGCAGGGACTGAGACATTCCATTGGGAGTCATAGAAACTGAGGCTAATCTCCTATAGTAACATCTCATGAGCTATGCTTCAGAGTAGGGCTGCTAATGTTCCTATGGCCATTCCATTAAACCACTATAAATTCTGTCACTGGACCTTCTGGAAGTTTACATCTCAGATGATATTACTGTGGAAGGGTCACCACAGAACTCAAAGTACTGCAACTAAAGGGCCGCCACACAAAATTTGGTATCAAGTATGATGCCCGCAAAAGTTCAGTGTGAGCCACCATAGCTTCCCAAGTAATAGAGGGTGTAACTTTCCCAACATCCCGTGAAGTGTCTTCAGATTGGAGCCTCAATGGCATCCTGTGTGGTCAAAGATGGAGTCTCTAGGCAAATATTTTTGGTGGACAGTGGGGCACAGGAATTAGGAACTAGCTTCATAATTATGTTTTTCCTTCCAGAGGTATGCAGATAGCCAAAGAGCCATAAGCCTGCCACACTTCACTGCCTGCCCGGTTCTCACCCAAACAGGGCTGAAGGCTCTGATGGTTTTCTGTACACCTGTCCCCAGTTAGCATAAAGCACCTGGTGCTTGGATGCTTTTTGAGGGGGCATTTATGCTGTACTTTGGTCTGACAGTGACTGGGGGCAGGGAGGTGCTAAGTCTTACCCTCATCTCTATGGCTTTGCGGGGTGCAGGGCTAATAGGTTAATTGGTATACTTCCCAACCATCAATGGCTTAGCGCAGAGGTAATGCAATTCCTCATTTAGAAACCCTGACGTACCATCTCTGCTCCTGGTAGCGACTCTGGGGTCCAGGCCCCTTCCTGTCAGCCACTTGGCTGTACTCCTCTTGAGCATGTCAGTCAACAAGCACCATGCAGGATTCTATGATGGTTGCTGGGGAAAGACCTGGCGGTGGTATGTGTTCCTTCCACCAATATTCCACCGGTCAAAGCTGGTCCCTTGGTGGCTGTCAAAAAGTCCTAGTGGTGGCTATGTGGGGAAGAGGAAGCAGTCTTGGTGAGCAGCCAGTGCCAGCCATTGGGAATCAATGGCAGGATGGGTATCAGTTGGATACTACAGGCGATCCTTCCCTGACTCCCCTTCTTCTGCTGTTTTAACCAGATCACTCCCGGCAGCAAGGCGGCCCAGTCCCAGCTCAGCCAAGGCGACCTTGTGGTGGCCATTGATGGCGTCAACACGGACACCATGACCCACCTGGAGGCCCAGAACAAGATCAAATCCGCCAGTTACAACCTGAGCCTCACCCTGCAGAAGTAGGTGGAAGCCCTCCAGAGGAGGGGATGCAGCTTTGGTGTGGGCATGTGATGGGGACGAAAGAGAGATCGTCTTCAGCATTTGCGCGGTCTAGCCCTGCATGGCAGAATCCTATGGGAAGGAGGGGCTGAAGTGACGGTCAAGCTGTTGTTGCCTCCCTTTACGGAAGTGCTGAGTCAGGGAGCATGGCCACAGTGCCACAGGTACAGGGAGGACTGAGCCCGGAAGGCCTGTGTCCTCCATCCTCAGGAAGCCCTACCCTCATCCCATGCAGAAGAGGCCGGTGCGTGCTGACAAGAATATTCCCGGGGCTATGAGTCCTTACCCTGCTCAAGCCCAGGACCTCCCTTAGGCTTGACATGTACTCAGGCACTGTGACTCGACTGTCCAGCTCTAGGTCTCCCCCAGGAGCTCTTGACCAGGTGCAAATGTCCTCACTGGGTCTCGTTTCTGGTTTCTCTAGGTCCAAGCGTCCTATTGCCATCTCCACAACGGCACCTCCTATCCAGTCCCCGCTGCCAGTGATTCCTCACCAGAAGGTAGGTGCTCGGCCATGGTTCCTGAAGTGTAACCTTGCCTGCCTGCCCTTGGCGCTGTCGACCCTCCTGAGAAGTGTTTGAGCCCCCTCGACACATCAAGTGTGGAGATGCCTACCTGGGCCCAAGATACCATCCCAGGTCCAGCAGCCATTCTGAGAAGAAACCGGTTTGGAAAACAATGTGCTTGAGAAGAGGGCCAGCATTCTAGCTAAACAGCAGACACGTGTCTGTCTCGAGGGCTCTGACCCTCACTGTCTGGGGACAGAGACTCAAGTTGCTGTTAGAGGGGCCCCAGCTTGAGCCAGTCACTCTAGGAGGCACCCCAGGTGTGAAGAGACCTTACCAGCCCTCAGGGTTTCTCCTGCGCACAGATTCTTCCGGTTGCTAAGTGTCTATCCATCCCTCACAGCTACAGACCCCTCTGTACATTAGGAAAGCTGGTTATAATCTCAGAGGCCAGCACAGAAGTGGAGGGGCCGCAAAGCCCTGGCCCCAGATCTGACCACTAGATCCAGAGTCCTTTCCAAACCCTCTTTAAAGTATCTGAACCCTGTGGGCCCAAGGGCCCAAAGTAAACTTGGGAAGGCTGGTCCAAGGGCCCAACCTAAACTTGGGAAGATTGGTCCAAGGGCCCCATCTAAACGTGGGAAGGCCTACCCATAGCTCCTACACCCAGGTAGACTGACTCCAGTCTTTCTGATGGGAAGACTGGACAGCAGATGAGATAGGAAGAAGAGGTTCACGGTAGTGGTGGAGGGGGATCATGGACTGGGGAGCTGGACAGAGAGCTGCTGGGAGAAACTGCTAGGGTAGACAAAGATGGTCGAATAGCCCAGTTGCTTCCTTAGGTTCCCCTCTGTACCTCCACCCCAAAAGTCAGTCAGCCCTGGCTATGAAGGGTCAGTGAATCAGGAGGCTTGTCTGTACTCACAGGGTACCCATTCAAAGGGAAAGGGGGCCAATAGACAGGAGAGTGGTACCTTACTCTCTCTTGAGCCCCACATCCTCAGGGGCAGACTTGGCTTTCTGCGAGGGACTTTGCATTCTGTTCAGACGGATGCCAGCCTCCAGACCAGGACCCCCAGGCTTCCCTCCTCCCCTCCTCTTGCAAAGGGCCTTTCTTTCCAGTGCTCCGTCTAGATGCTTCACGCAGCAGGCAGCAGGTCACAGGCTGTGGGAGGTGGGTGACAGGTGCTCACCCTAACATGTCTGTTTCAGATGCACACAGAAGCACAGCCATGTGTGGCCTCTAACCGCTATCTTCTCTCTCCCTGCATGGTGCTGCCCTATGCCAGGACCCTGCTCTGGACACGAACGGCAGCCTGGCGACTCCCAGCCCCAGCCCTGAGGCGAGGGCCAGCCCAGGCAACCTGGGCACCCTGGATTTCGGGGACACCTTTAGCTCCTCCTTCTCCCAGACCTCTGTCTGCACCCCACACATGGAGGCCCCGGAATCTGTCCTTTTTCAGGGCAGCCCAATGGCCAAAGCCAGCCCAGAGGGTGTACAGGGCTCAGTCAGCCCCAAAGTTCTTCCAGGCCCTAGCCATCCGAGGCAATATAACAACCCCATTGGCCTGTACTCAGCAGAGACACTGAGGGAGATGGCTCAGATGTATCAGATGGGCCTCCGAGGGAAGGCCTCAGGTGCTGGACTTCTTGGAGGGTAGGTAAAGGGCATCCTGCTGTCTGGTATGGAGGCACTTGGGTTATCGGTGCTCACTACAACAGTCTGGTCAGGTGGTCAGGGGGAGGATAGGCCTCAACACAGGCAGCCTCGCACCCATGAGGTAGAACCAGCCAAGATCAACACCAGCAGGGATCCTACTGATGTTTGTTGTCAGCCAGGCATATTGCCGCTGCCAGGCATATCGCCGCTGCCAGGAAAACCACTCTGGAGTGACGTGTCAGGTTTTTGCAGAAATAGAAACTGAGGCTCAGAAAAGGTTAAGTTGCATGCAGGAGACTCTAACTGCCCAGATAGTCACCCCAGGCAACACCCCATCCCATGAGACGAAAATACCTACTGCCTTTGGGAACTAAAGTTCTGAAAGAGAGACTAGTCCCCACACCCCTGGGTGTCTATGGCAGAAACAGGGAAGCGTTGGAGATAAGAAAGAAAGTTCTCAGCTGGGTGGTGGTGGTTCACACCTTTAATTCCAGCACTCAGGAGGTAGAGGCAGGCAGATCTCTGAGTTGGAGGCCAGCCTGGTCTACCGAGTGAGTTTCAGGACAGCCAGGACTACACAGAGAGACCCTGTCTCAAAAAAAAAAAGGCGGAGGGGGGAGGAGAAAGCAATTTCTCTAATGATGAGGGTGGTCTAGGAAGGCTACGCGAAGGAAGCAGAGCTGGACGTACCCATGGAGAGACTTGCAAGACTGACCCAGGCTAGGGTGGACAACAAGGAAGCAGACCTCTGAGAAGAAAGAGATTATGGGAAACAACCCGCTCGGGTCCCCACAGTTTAGCTAGTAAGACTTCATGGGAGCAGGAGTTGAAGGAACATGGAGCCAAGTCACTGGGAGGATAGAAAGGAGGGATCCATGTGTGAACTTGTATCAGCTGCCAGGCTCTCTCCCCTCCTGTCTCACAGTGGCTACGCCACTATCCTGTGCAATGAATGTACTCATCTTTAGGTGCTAAAGGCACAGCCGGCTGAGTTAAGGCATTCACTGTGGGCCAGTGTCTTGGTGAGAGAAATCTCGTGGTTGTCTGCAGTTAACAGGAGGATAAAGAAGGGCATTTGTCACACACTGCACGTACTCATGGCCTAAACTCTCCTGGCTGACAGGTGCGCCATCAGCGTGACCCCAGCCACGCCCTCCTTTGCTCGTCTGTGTCTACTAGACCAAAATGCTCTGGTTTCTCAACTTCCCCAGCTCCTTCTGGAATCTGAGCAAGGCCAGTCTCTAGTACACCATTGCTTCCCCAAGCCAAGACTTTCCCAGTAAGAAAGCAGAAAATTATAGAAAGGCAGAATAAAGATGGCCTCCTTTTCCTTCTCTGATGGGTAGGTCTTCCTGGTCCCTTCTGGACCCACCCCAGGCAAGAAAGTTGCCTTCTGGTTGACTAGGATCCCCAGAAAGCCCACTGATAGTTGTGGCAATGTCTCCCTGGCTGAGCTGACTCTGAGTTGGGAACTGGCTCTTTTTTATTAATTAATTTACTTTATGTGTATGGGTGTTTCACCTGCATGCATATCTAAGAGACTGACTGATCCTCTAGGACTGGAGTTTCAGATTGTTGTGGGCTGCCAGGTAGGTGCTGGGTATTGAACCAAAATCCTCTGGAAGAGCAGTCAGTGCTCTTAACTGCTGAGCCATCTCTCCAGCCCCGTAGGAACATCAGAAGTGGACATTGATTTCCTTCATCTTAACAAGTCAGATATAGAGTGAAATTGACCCCAGGTCACACAGTCAGTAAGAGACAGACAGAACTAGTGGTCTACCTGATTCCATCTTGATTTGAGATGGAACCAGGAAAGCTAAGCGGTCAGGAGCCCTGTCCCTGTCCCCTGGACTCCCAGGTGCCAGTCCTTTGATGCAGATGCTGTCCAGAACCTACTCGGCAAATGTAGAAATTATCACTTGATAATTGGAGAAGTGGGAGCCAACAGCGTCTTCAGTGGGAAAGTGGACCAGAGGAGGAAGTGACGTTGGTAATTCATTCAAAGTAAAGGCTGCTACAGTGTTGCAGTGTGGGCAGAAAGAGCTGGGACCTCTGCTGCCCTGAGGCTCCCACTTTGCTAAGTGTCTCACTGCTTGAAAGCAACAAATGGGCAGTTCTCCGTGCCCATCTTCTGTATACGTCCTGTGCTGAAGGCTTAGACTCGGGGGACAACTCCTTGGCTTTACCCATTCACAAGGGGGAAACTCTCACTTCCTTCTTTTTTATACTTTATTTTATTTTTACGCGTGAGGGTTTTTGTCTGTCTGTCTGTATGTCTGTGCACCACCAGAAGAAGGTGTCAGATACCTAGCATTGGAGTTACAGATGGTCGTCAGCTGCCACTCGGGTGCTGAAAATTGAACCTGGGACCTCTGGAAGATTAGCCGCAGCTAATTATCCCTGAAATCGTCTCCTCCAGTGCCCCCACTTCCTTCTTATGAATTGAACTGAGATAGTGAAACTTGTCCAGAGTCGTAATGTTGAGAAGAGTCAAGGTTAGGAATTGACCCCTGTTCTGTCACGCTCCAAAAGGAAGCCCCTTCCCTACTCTCCTCTGAGCACTTTGTGGCGTGATTCTTGACAACTGGATCTCTGGGGAGACATGGAGGGGGACCAGTGGAAAACAAGGACAGAAAGGCCTGAACAACCCGCAGGCTCCACTCCTCACCTGAAAGGCAGAGCAAGGGCCCCAAGCAGGCTCTGTATCCCTGGTGCCTCCTCCTGGGGCCTGAGTCCTGGCTCCTCTCTGAGCAGTGTGTGCTGCAGGCATCCAAGTATTGGGATGGAGCAAGAACTTAGCAGGGGGTATTAGTGCCAAAGAAGGAGTTGGCTGCTGCTCAGGGCAGAAGCAACCCCCACCCAGTCAGATCAACGCTGCCCTCTGCAGGGGACACTGGGCTAGCTGGTCATCACCAGAGCTGACCCTGCAGTTGTCAGGATTGGCCAAACATGGCAAAGACATGGCAAAGCCAAGCTGGCCTTTTCCTAATATAGATGCACTTGTGGCTATTTTGGAACCTGGGAGGACAGAAGGAATTTTATCAGCTCGGGGACAGTAAGGGACCTGGGCCTGAGCAGATAACACCATGGACTCTCTGGGGTGGGAAGTTCTTGGCTTCCCAGAGCCCTGGTTGTGGGGTGACCAGGGTCAGGCTATCTGGGGTTAAGGGTCCCTCTTTTAGAGTTTGTAGTGGACAGATCTAGGGAAGCAGATGTGTATGGAGACAATGTCACCCCCTCCCCACTCTCTCATCATTAGTGTCAGACAGGGCCACAAGGTCTGCTACCACAAGCAGTCTACATTTACAAAAAGCATCATACTCAGAATGCTTCCCCAAAGGAACTCATATTTCTAAAGGCTCATTGTCCTAGCGGAGTGAGGACAGGGTCCCTCTGTGCTGTCTATGCTAGGTGGCCCCTGCTGGGGGCTTTCCTGCACAAGCCTTGGACATGATCTTCTTTTGGGCCTCCTCCTGCCTCACTGCTGGCCCACAAGGCCTTTGGAGCAGTCACTGGGGACTGCATCAACCTCCTACTCCCTGTACCACGAGGAGTGACCAGGGATGCCTGTCTGTCCTTGGGAGAGAGACTAGGGCCCAGGGGCCATGGGTAACCCTGCTGCACATACAACAGCCCTGCAATGCCTCCTTGGGGCATGAATGCCCACGTTGCCCCATGAACAGAGCTACGTTGTGGCTTTTCATATTTTGGGGCACCTTGCCAGAAGGAACTGGGAGCCTCCAGCCTTCTTGAAGTAGCCGCAGCAGTCATGTCTCTGTCTCAGCTTTCTCTCCAGGGTCTACAGTCAGGCTCTACCTATGTGATCCATGGATCTGTGTATAGTCTTGAGTCCGACAAGAAATTCCTTCCCCTTGGCAAATCAGGAAGTGCGGGACTCACCACTTAAAGGGAGTCCTAGCACCTCCCACCCAAACCGATGGTTCTAGAGACCCCGATTCCTGACTTTGTGCTCTCTCCTTCCTCGCTTCTTACTCCTTGCAGACTGAGGCCGTGCTCCGGCCTCCTTCACGACCATTCTGAAGATGGTCCCTACATTCGCACTTCCCCGGTCAAGGCCTCACTCTGACTGTTCCATCTTCTTTGCTTTCTCTCTCCTTCCAGGTGGTAGCCAATTCTCCAGCCAAGTTAGTATCCAAGGACAGCATGTGTATGTCCCTGTGTGCCTTTCCAGCATGCAGCTGCCTTCCGTTGGGTGTGGATGGCGTGTGCCTGTTGGCATGGGTACCTATGTGCATGTGTGAGTGGGGGTGCATTGTGCGCTGGATGTGCCTGCACGGGTATTTGCTGGAGTGTGGAGGGAAGCCGTTTCACACTTCAGCAGCTTGAGGCTTGCAGGTTAATTCAGGTGTGTGGGGTGCTGCGCTCTCACTGGCCTGTGTGGTTCTGAAGACTTTTCTGTCCCAGTGGGACCCCTGAGAAGGACTCGGTGTGATTTTATCCCTGCTTGGGGATGGCACCTACCTGTTGAAGGGAAGAACCTGGATGGGTAGAGACTGGCAAGCTACAGCGTGCAGGACTTGGGGGCCTGGGCAGCCCGAACCATCCTCCAAGGAAGAAGCACATGCATGGAAGGATCTGGAAGAACGGAGTCCCAGGCCACAGAGGAATGACTGGCAGGATAAGCCCCTTCATGAAGGAACTTTGCTCAGAACCTCAGCATCTCCAAGCGTGCCAGTGTGACCGCTTTTTGCCTTTGGAACAGTCTAGAATCTGCTTGGGCTGCTGCCTCTTCTGTCACATGGCCCAGCTTCTGTCTTCTCCCCAAGTCCCGCTCCCCTAACCCCGCTTGTGTCTGCTTCTCCATCATGCTGTGAGTGACCCTAGGGGGGAGTCGGGCTGCAGGGAAGCCTGATGGGAGTGGGAGAGCCCATTCAGGTGGACATGAAGATCTCCTGCAAGGGCCTTGGGAGGTGCCAAAAATTCTCCTGGGCACACCCAGGCAGCCCACAGTGGGGAACTTGGGGAACTTGCTTGGGTCAAGACCTCAGCTTTGGGAGATCTCTCTCCACATTCCCACCAGCACCCTGGCCTTGACTTCCCATGTAACCATCGCCTGTTGCCCTCTCTCTTCCCCTTCCCTCTTCCACCCCCCCCTTTCCTGCCTGCCTTCCTCAGCGCCGACTACCAGGAACGCTTCAATCCCAACGCCCTGAAGGACTCAGCCCTGTCCACCCACAAGCCCATTGAGGTGAAGGGTTTGGGCGGCAAGGCTACCATCATCCACGCACAGTACAACACCCCAATCAGCATGTACTCACAGGATGCCATCATGGACGCCATCGCTGGGCAGGCCCAGGCCCAGGGCAGTGACTTCAGTGGGTAAGCGCCTCCCAACATCACATGACTGTGGAGGCTACCAAAACTAGCAGGACCAGCTTTCTTCTCTCACCTAGCACCTCCCGGGTTCAGACCCCTGGAGGGGATGGACCAGCCTTCACCAGGGACTTCCAGAATGTGTTGCCTTTTCTCTCTTCAGAGTCTGCCTCTGCCCTGCATTCGGCTGTAGGAGAAACGGCAAAATGTAGAACATTGTGCTTCCTCAAAGGGATTGTCAGACTCAGTTTCCCAGGCTTTATGAGCGGTGCTGGCTAGAGACTTTGGGAGTGCTTCTGCTACAGCTTCAGCAGAGCACGGGAGCCTCCCCGCACCTCTCATAACTAAAGCCGTACTGGGGAAGTGGAGGAAAGTGTCTTATTCTAGTGATGAGCATCAATCCAGCACTTGGTGCGTTTGTTATTGGGAGAGGCCTTGGGTCAGCTATCCAAGGTGCCATTGGCCGTCAACCTCTCTCTCTCCTCCTCTTTGCCCCAGGAAGCCTGGCTTCAGAGCAGTAGGGTTTAAAATGACCTTGGCGCCTGGGATTGGTCTATTAGCTTGGTTGGGTAACTCGAGGGTGGACTAGCGACAGAGTTGGTAGAAACTCGGACAAAACTGGTACTATTCAAGTATTAACAGATGAGCCATTCTCTCCTGTCTTCTCCTCACCCCCATTTCTGTCTCATCCTTGTCTCTTTCTCTGTATCTCTCATCTCCTCTCTGTATCTGTCTTCCTCTCTATTGTTTCTTGCTTTTATCTGTCTCATCTGTTTTCTTACACACACACACACACACACACACACACACACACACTAATGCACACGCAGGGATATAGGGGGGTAGGAGGGTAAGTCATTACTTTTTTCTGCTGGGAAATGTCATAGCGCAGAGCTTACCTCTCTAGGCAACATATTATCATCCCTGAATCAGAGATTCCCAGAAACTCAGGAGAAAAAAGTCTATGGGAACATTAAACCTTTTTCTGAAACTATAAGAATAGATACTATTTGAGGGACACATAAATGTCCCAGGCATTTCTTATGGGACAAGGACAAGTGCTTGTGACCATGGTGTACTTACAGAGGCCAGAGGATAAGGTTACATGTCCTGAGCTCCATTTCTGGAGAACCTGACTTCGGCTCAGAGAGGCACTACTCCCTGTCGACCACCAGGGGGCAGAGGTTGTCCATTTTGCAGTCACTAGTCCAAAACCTGCAGAGTTTAGGACTGCAGGCATCCCTTTGCAGAGACCTGAACTGTGCTGATTTATTTAAATCGTTAATTCAAAGAAAAAAAATGACCATGCAATTTTTTTAAAACAACCATTAGGTCATGAGTACCCAGTAAAACAAGTCTGCCTGACTAAGCCCAAAAACCTATGGGATGTCCTGTTAACCTTTGTTTGTCACATGGTCCTTGGCAAAGCCCTTAAAAGTACACCGACACCAAAGGACAGTCAAACGGGAAATAATGGATCAACTGTTCAGCACACTGTATTTTCTGCACAGTGGGAAAACGTCTACTGTTTGATTTTATTATCAGGGCGCCTGTGATTTGGAGACTATGGTGCTCAGATGGTGACTCTAGCTGTCTCCCACCTGTTCCCTTCCCTTCTTCCCTGCCTCTTGTTTTGCTAGTGTGCCTGGAAAGGATCGACCTTTCCCGTTCCTTTTAACATGAGCGCGCTGCGCTGATGCTGCTATGGCGCAGTGAGGAACCCTCCTGACCATGACGTGTTCCGTTTCTGCTGTTAATCTCCATGGTTCTTTCCTCACTGACAGTTTTCTTTTTCTCTCTCTCTTTCTCTCTCTCTTCTCCCTTTGCCCACCCAACTCCCCTAACTTATTTCTGGTCCTAACCCTGCTCTCTTGCGTGCGCTGCCCCTCTGCTATCCCATGATGGACGCGCACTCGCGGCTGGGTTACCTTCTGCTTGGCAGGGCGTCGCCGCTGGCGTAAGTAGACCCGCAGTGTCCGTCTTGTCGTCTGTCTGGTTGCAGGATGGTGTGTGGGTCTGGTGGGGTGTGTTTGAGGACAGTGGTCAGCCCATGCGCTCTGTCCACCTTGTCCCTCATGCCCACCTGTCAGCCACCGACATCCTCTGCAGCCCGCGCAGGCAGATGCTTGTCTTTTGGAGTTCACCCGTGTCAATGTGGCTATGGAAGTCTAATCGTGGCACTCACAGTGCACCCACCCCAGCCTAAGGCTTCATTACTGCCTTCTCCTTGCCGTGCTTTGGTGAGGTTTTCCAGCCTTTCCTAGTTTCCCTAGGACAAGGCACATTTGTGGGGGTCAGAATGCACACTGGGCTATTATTCAGTGCCAGAAGGTGACAAAGTCAAAGGCTACTCTTTTAGGAGCCAGTCCCCAGTGTCCACAAGAACCAAAGAGATCTGGTTGTGCCCAAAGGCCTCAGGAACCCTTAGAATCTATCCTATATGAGAACCGGCTTTCTGCAAGAAGAACAAGAACCCAGGCTTTTCCTCTGCTTCTCATGTAGCTGTAAGCCCCTCCCTGGATAGACCCCGGGGAAACCCGGCTCTTTAAGCTAGAGAAAGTCTTCAGGAAAGCAGGAGCAGGGACACCTGCCCCCCCCCCATCCCTTTTCTATCTCTGCTCTCCTAACTCACCCTGAGTCAAGCCCAAGGAACCAGTCCTGGGAAACTGGGTCAATTCTATCCAGCGTCATGCAGAGAAAGTGAAAGGCTTGTGGTATGGGGGAGCCTGTCCCGCTAGCCAGCCCCCACTGGGCAGATGGAGCCAGGCAGGAGGGGGCGAGCTAGGGCCTGCCTCAGTCTGTGTCTTCTGTGGTTGGAGCATCTCATCCAAGCTGTGTAGTCCCTGGGAGGCAGATGAGGCCTTTGAGCTTCCTGACCGTAGAACACATGACAGAAAGGACCCTGGGCAAACCAGATGTGGTGACACATGATCTCAGTCCTCAGGGGAACCGGGTAAGGGCAGCGGCATAGCAAGACTCTGCTTCCCAAATAAATAAAGAAAAGTGAAGTGAAGACTAGCAATAGCAAAGGGGGACAAAAAGGACACTGGACTGGGGCCTGGGCCACCTACATCATCGTTCAGTGGTGCCCCCGTCTACTACAGCCTGGCACTAATCAGCTGACCTCTCTGGACCTCAGTTTCAACCTCTATGGAGGAAAGGATTAGCTGGCACGCTGCTACTACCATAGGCCTGGCCTCTGACATCTGAGAGGGTTTCTGGGCAAGACAGAGTCACAATCTAATCCATAAAACTTCTGTCATGTAGAAATTCCAATGCCTGAGAAGCTCTGGGATCCCTGCTGGCTTTGATCTGGAGCTGAAAAATTCATTCAGCTAGGAATTTTGGTCACCTACCATATATGTCAGACCCTGGAAGCTTAAGGGAATATCACCAGGTTCCCCTCAAAAGACTATGCTGTTTGGATGCAGGGACCATGCCTGAAGTATCCTCCATCCCCAGCCCCAACCCCCACTGTCCATGCGGATCATGCCAGTACCGAGCAAAACTTCCCACTTCGTTTCTTGTAACACTTCATAGCCAGGCTGTCTCCGGCAGCCGAGCCAGAAGCCCCAGGCATCTTCCAGCAGCAAGGCATTGGCAGCTCCCTAGCTGGATCTGTGGGTGTGAGGAGGCCATTGGATGGGTCCTGAGCCTCCAGGTCCCTCAGGCAGGCGGTTTTCACCCTGCCCCACGCAGGCAGAGCTGGCTTAGGGAAGCCAAAATCACTTCAAGGAGAACTACCTCCTCCTTCAGTAGAGGGACTCCAGGCTGTGGGGTGGGAACTTGTTCAGGCCCAAGATTAGCACTGGAATGGGGCCAACAGGAAGGATAGAAACCTCATGGGCAAGAAGAGCCACTGTCCTGCTGGGCCTTCCCTGACCTCTGAACCCCTGAGCACCGAAACCCTAGGCTTCTCAGCTCTTCTGGTACTAGAGGGTGAAAATAGTGGGCACAGATGTGGGGGGAGGGACGCAGTGGGAGAACCAAGTGGTGGAAGGGGGTCTGAGTTCCAGCCTGGCCCCCACCCACACCCCTTCTGCTCTACAGGAGCCTCCCCGTGAAAGACTTGGCCGTGGATAGCGCCTCTCCTGTGTACCAGGCTGTGATCAAAAACCAAAGCAAGCCGGAAGAGGAGGCTGATGAGTGGGCCCGCCGGTCCTCCAACCTGCAGTCTCGCTCCTTCCGCATCCTGGCCCAGATGACAGGGACAGAATACAGTGAGTGGAATCGCTGAAGTGGCATGGGGGGTGGGGGAGTAAGACAGAAGGGTCCTGGCTCAGTCTTAAAACTGATAGAAGCTGAGGAGTCAAGCCACTTGCCCTTGATGATTAACCAACATTGATAGAAAGTTGGCAACTGGGAGAGAGCCTCTGGGTCCCCGGCTGGGCCTTCCATTCTAACCCCTAACATGAGCAGAAGGCTTGTCATCCGGTTTACAGTAAGGTGATGGCTTATGATTTGAGAGAAGAGGACCTGCAGGCCTTCTTGGACCACCCCCTCCCTACTGCAGAGTATCCTCTCAGCTCCCCCTGACAGAGGCCTGGCATGCACACACTCACTGCCATCACTGAGAAGATGGTACAGGAAGTGTCCAGGGCCTGGCTGATTCCTAGAGTGTCCTCAAAGCTCTAGTAGACTCTCTTCCTCTGCTCCACATGAGTCCTCCTGACCAACTTCTTTCTCCCACAGTGCAAGACCCTGACGAGGAAGCTCTGCGAAGGTCAAGGTAGGTGGCCTAGACTTGGGTTCCATGGCCTTGCCTACTAACCTCATCCCTCCCCAGGGAGCCCCCAGGCCCCAGGACTCATGGAAAGAACCTTTCATGTTTATGTATTTGAAAAGCTCGGCCCTTAAAGGGCTCCAGTGGATGCGGACTTGGGTGACTTTCCCAGGTCAGTGAGGTAGACACAGGGGTGAGGAATCTAGGCTCTCCTGGCTCCCTTCCTGGGCAGGGGCAGGGCTGCTTTGGCCTTTGCTGGGCTTCGGAGAACTGTGAGGGCAGTGAGCCAATGCCTCGCCTGCACACTCATCTGTGGGCTTGCCCCTCGTGAGTCTGAAGGCTCGGCACTGTGAGCAGGCACGCAGAGGGCCATGCTAGGCATGAATACCTGACTCCTAGATTCACCAGCCCACGCATACACTGAGGCACCAGTTCTAAACATTGCTCCAAGTGTAACAGCTGCTGCAGGGAACTACAAGCCCTTGGCACAAGGAAGGACTTGTATAGGGCTAGGCATCTCAGGGCAAGGTCTCCTGATCAGTGGCAAGTTTGGGGTCCCCATTACTTGCCTACTGCCTGTGCCCTGTTAGGAGCTATAGCCCTGGGCATGAGTGGGGCATGGCTGTTTTGAAACCCACTGGAAGCTGTCAGGGCCTTCCATGGCGAGGCATGGGGCCTGTGTGATGATCTGTCTCTTTCTGGTAGTGAGTATGCCATCTGCATGTTCTTCTTGGACAGTCTGTCTGGGGCCAGCGAGTCTCCGGGAGGGTCTGGGACTCAAAGGCATGTTCTACCCTGAGCCAAGCTTTCTGTACTTGCTAACCACACACAGTGGCCACAAGAACTTGAGAAGTGTAAGGTTCTGGGGGCCAGCTGGGACTCCATGTGCATTTGATGGTTGAACTTGTGTTTCTGCCAGCCCGAGCTGCTCCCACTCTTTGACCAGGCGTGGGCTCCTCCCAGGGCTGCCACGGGTGGCATGTAGTCCCGGAAACGTGTTGAACTTCTGAGCCCCTTTGTGTATCACACACCCAGTACAACGCTGCTGTGTTCATCTCAGGGGTGGAAAGCCGGTTTTCTGTGTGGCTGAGCTCTCGACTCTCCATTCTGCCTGGGCCCTGCGGTCCCTACTTGCTATGTCTGTGCTTTCCCCGCCTTCTTCATTGAAGCCACCCACATAGATGTCCCGGGGAGCAATGCGGACTTTCCCCAAGACTCAATAGAGGGGTCTTTATGTCACCTCCCTGACACAGTAAGCGGCTGACTACCCAAGTTCTTTCCATCGGGAAGTCAGCTGGAGACCTTTCTCTCCCTCCTACAAGACACAGCAGTCTTCTTTCACGGCCTTGCCACCTCTTCTGTTCACTCTACCCTCTTCTGTCCAATATGCCTATGACTCCTGCAAGCTTGTGTCTTGTCGTCAGCCATCCATGATTAGAAGGAAAGGGGCCCCAGGAGAAGGAGAGCCAGCCTGCTCCCTGTTCTGAAACATTAGCAGGCGCTACCAGAGAGTTTGCTCAGACAAAAATTTGGCCAGAGGTTCCAAAAGGAGACTTGAGCCTACTTCCTTCCTCAGGCTCAGCCCATCCCTCCCAGGATTCCAGGCCCTTCAGGGAAGACTGAGGTTCCAGCCAACTTTTCCCAGAAACAGAAGGTGCAAGCCTCTTGATTCTGTCTCTTTTTTCCTGACTTTAATTTGTTGAGGGTTGTCCTCACTGGTAGAATCTTCCATGTCTCCAAATCCCATCTGGCAGAGGCTGTGCGTGTCCTTGTTCCTCTCTGCTCAGGAGTAAAGTGCCAAGTTCAGTCTGAAGCCCCTGGGGTCCCAGGATCACTCACCAAGTGGCCATGTGAGCAGAAGAAAGCATGTTTGCCTCTCATATGCTGCCTCCAGACAGCTCAGGGGGACTCTCTTCCCCGCGGTCAGAACCACACCCTGACTCCAGAGCTGGAGGCTGTGCCCTCAAGCCTAATGATCCATCCTGTGGGCTGATGACAGCTACCACCCTGCTCGCTTCTCCTCCCACATTGGCCCCTAGGATTCTGGCACGCTGGCAAGTCTGAAAGCCACAGATAGAGGCACTGGGGCGTCCAAGCACCACAGTCTAAGCAGACCCGGGAGGCCTCCTTCCTGTCTTTTGCTCTCCCCTCTTTCTCTCTCCTCTGCGTTCCTCTTCTTGTCTTTTCTTTGGCTAACCAGGAATCTCCCCACAGTGACAAACTGAGTAGGTTCACTAGATTCATAAAGGTTCTAGAATTGTCCTTCACTTTGTCATTGAACACTGATGACAAACTGTCGTTAAGCCTCAGTGGGCTTTGCTTAAACTGGGAATTGAACCGGCAACCGGCCAGGTCTCATTTTGGGCCTCCGTTGTCTCTAGGAGACGGCTGTGAATGCTGGCAGTGCCAGGTGAGCCTTGCCACACGGCCTTTGCTTGTCCTTCTTTCACCCACTCACCCTGACCCTAGAGAGGCAGCTCTGTGGCAGGGGGAAAGGCTCAGCACTCAGATGATAGTTTTGCTGTTGAATATCCGTGTGGTTTAGGATTACTTGTGTGGACCTCTCTGAGTCTCTTGGTATGACACAAAGGTTGGATCAGACCTGTGTTTTACAACCATGTGAGCACCTAGCAGCCCCACCTTTGTGCAACAATGATATAGAACTCCAGTGTGCTGGATTCAAGGAGTAGAGTGAGCGCATGCCAGGTCGCATGGATGGGAAGTGGGCCTCTGTGAAATGGCGATCGATGTGGGGGTGCAAGGACCAGGGCCTGGCGATAGTGACTCTGTGTAAACTGTAAGATCAGCTGTGCCTAATGTCAGTCTCTCTGACTCCTGCATGCTGCCAGTTCGTTTTGAAACCGGACTTCATTTTGAGGCAGTTTCCAATTGACTTGCATTGTAAGAAATGGCAGAGATGTGGTGGCACATGCCCTGGATTGCTGAGCTTGGGAGGCAGAGGCAGGTGGATCTCTGAGTTTGAGGCCAGCCTGGTCTACAGAGCAAGTGCCAGGATAGCCAGGGCTGTAACACAGAGAAACCCCGCCTAAAACAGAAAACAAAAATAAAAACAAACAACAAAAAAGAGAGAGAGAGACTCCTTATGCCTTCCCCACTTTCATTTCCACTGGCAAAGTCTTACATCACAGCACAACACAGTGATAATTAATGATGACGTCACTTCAGCTCCAAACACAGACTGTCCCACACCTAAGACTGTTCCCCATGTCTCCACACATTAACACACATATACACCCCCTTCCCAGTGATGACCAATGGTACATGACCATTTTAGGGTTGGGTTTTTCTTTTTTTTTTAATATTTATTTATTTATTATGTATACAATATTCTGTCTGTGTGCATGTCTGCAGGCCAGAAGAGGGCACCAGACCTCTTTACAGATGGTTGTGAGCCACCATGTGGATGCCGGGAATTAAACTCAGGACCTTTGAAAGAGCAGGCAATGCTCTTTACCACTGAGCCATCTCTCCAGCCCAGGGTTGGGTTTTTCTATTAGCAGAATTCCTTTGGACTTTACCTAAGTTGTTGAGTGAACCAGTACAAATTCACACACATACGCATGCACGCACGCACACACACACACACGCATGCACGTGCACATACACACACACTCACACTCACACCCTGATTCCAAAATCCAAAGCACCCCAAACCCAAAACTTTTCTGAGCACCATGAACATCAAAAGATGGAGAATTTTACCTTTGACCTCATGTCCAAACACAGATTCTAGTCCAGGTGTGGTGGTGCTTGGTATAATCTCAGCCCTTGGGAAGCAGAGGCAGGCTGATCTCTGTGAGTTTGAGGCTAGCTTGCCCTATATAGAGAGTTCCAGACCAGCTGCACAGCGTGACCTTGTCTCAAAAAGAAAAGCAGAAACAGTAGGCACAGAAGCTAGGCTGGGGTGTAGCTTGGCAGGGGGCTTGGCTACCTGCACGAGACCCTGGGTTCAGTCTCCAGGGCTGGAACAGTGTTGGGAGCAAAACACAGCTCTCATAAAAAAAATTACATTTGAGTTGTGTGTAAGAAAGTGTATATGCGATATAAATGAATTTTATGTCAGGTCCCCAAGATCTCTCCTTATATATGTGTAAATAGTCCCAAACCACTCAACATCCAAAACAGGTCTGTCCCACGCATTTTGCATCAAGGTTATTCAGTCTGTTGTTCATTTGCTCCTTTTCGCTGCTAAGTGGCATCCCACGATGGGGATAGAGCAGTGAGATTTTGATTTTGATTTTTCCTTAGGTAACTGTTCACAGTGCTACCTCTGGATAATGCCAGCACTACATTTTTTAAACTGTGTCTCGGTTCAGGTTGAGTTCACTGTGGCCTCTCCACTGCCCCTCTGCTATGGAGGTGTTACAGGCCCTTCTGCCAGGAGGGTTAAGACCCAGCAACGTTGGCTGGCCTTTCCCTGCCCCCCACCCCTCCCCTTTCTACATCCTAGCCCCAGGGTGCCTGCGCTGCACCCTCACCTGGGCAACTGTGGGTAGGGCTTTCCAGAGACCCCACTGACAGGAAGTACAGATCCCTCTCCTTTATTTCCCTGGCAGTGAGTGTGTGTGTGTGTGTTTGTGTGTGTGTGTGTGTGTGTGTGTGTGTGTGTGTGTGTGTGTGCTTGTGAACTGGGGTAGGCCTGGACTGTTCTCAGGGTCTGGGCCTGCAGGAGCCCAGGGGAGCGTTTGAAGGCTTCATTCTGGAGATGGTGAAGGTGAGGAATGCCAGACAGTTCAGGGAGGGATGTGACAGGTCTACCCATCGGTCTAATCACGGGAGTTATGTGTCCCTTCTCCTTGGTGCCCAGCTGGAGGACAGAGCCTGTTCCGGGCCTGCCTGCCTACCTGTTTGGTTTAGTTCTAAGAGCCCACAGCCAAAGCAGCTTTGCCCAGCCCTAGCCACATGGGCCAGGGAGCCAGCCTCCCTTTGCCCTCCCCGCCCATTGGTCCTCTAACCAGGCCCCTATTCCGTACCTCTCCCTCCAA